GACCCTACCCGGGTGCCAAAGCATCTGGCTGCCCAGGACCAGAGCACCGCAGTGAAAGGCTGTGGCAGAAGAGATGATTGCCTTGGAAACTACAGATACAGTGCAGGGAGGATGGCAGCTTTCCCTGCCTGGAGAAGAAAAGCCCTCTGGCCTGGTCGTTGTCTGGGATGGAGAATCAAGTCAAGTCATCCACAAATATCAGAGGGATACGCTGCCTCAGACCCATTCGCAGAGTTACCAGTGAGCACCCTGCCAGCTAACTAGCAAGTTCCTCTCCCAGTCCTCTTGTGAAATAGTTCTCCATCCCAGAAGGCCCTGAAAGGCAAGAGGTGGCATTCATCAACTTAATTACTTTAATCACCACCAGCCAAAGCAACACACCTACACTGCAGTGGTGCTCGACTATCCCTGGCCCCTCTCAGGCTGCAACAATTTGGGGTGCACAGTAAGAACCCCAACTCCATGGGGAAAGTCCACTGTGGCCCATTTTGGTGAAGTAGGTCTCACAGAGCAAGGTTCAGCTCAGTCCCTCAGAACTTGGTGGAGAAACATCCATATGTTCTGGAGTCCCTTATGTGGTGTGGATTTCACCAGAAAAAATCAGCTTTCCTCTCAAATTCCTCATGACTTCTCCTTCGAGCAGAGGAGGTGGCCTGCTCAGTGTAGCCCACCCTGGAAGGGCTCCAGCTTGCCCTGGGAAAGCATAATCTGAGCTGCCCGCTACAGAAAGTCAACCCACAAGATCATAAATTTGTCAGGCAACAAAACTCTCCTGTTCAGTGCCATGAGCCAGACTGGGGTTCTCAAACATCCAACAGCATGGCCAACAGACAGGCAAGTGCCTAAGCAAGATGGCTTCCACATGCATGCTCCCTGTTAGAATTCGTGACTTTGTCAATGATGCCAAGAGATTTAGGTGTCTCCAGAAATCACCCGCTCTTCTACTGTATTTAAGTGAAATTCCTGCAAGAGCATTTGGAAGTCACGACCTGCAAGGCCCCAAATGAGCAGGGCTTTTTGTAAGCTTGCAAAGCTATACCCACCGTGTTCCCAAAACACAAGCTAGTCACAGTGCCTTTACCGGCTCAGCAAAAGTTACACATAGCAAAGAGGGGCAGAAGCACGTAAAATTCCCTGTCACTCATGCATCTTGCTTTCCGAGCCCTGGGGATGGAGAGCACAGCCTGTGCCTTCCGGGAGAGACATAGAGCTGAAGGGAAAGAACAGGGGGGCTCTGAGCACAAAGCACAGCCCTGTACATTGCACACATGCTCTTATGCTTTCAAGCCCCACTCTGCCTCCATTCATGTGCACGTCCCCACCTCCTTGCATGCACCGTGCTCAGCAGCTCCTGGCCACATATCCCCGTACATCATGGTGGTACCGAGCTGCTGAGTCAGGGAGCACGCAAGGCCTACAGCCTAAAAACCCTGCACCCAGCCAGGCTTCGAGTGCTGAGCCAGCACCACTCGGGGCTGTCACTTGCTAGCAGCCCCAACCATCAGACTTGCTGAGTTAGAGCTTCTCCTTGGCCCCATGCTGTCACAGGTTAACAAGCGGGAGGAGGGGCTGAGGCAGCCAACTTCAGGGGACCCAGGGCTGAGCATCCTACCAGGCACTGGTGGCATCCCAGTGATGCTCAGAGGAGAGCATCCTGGTGGGGTGGAGAGCCGAGAGCCTCAGCTGCACACTCTCCTGCCCAGAAATAACTAAGGGAATCAAACAGCAGGCAGCCTTGGCAGAGGCCCCAGGGGAGACCAGCCTCCCCACCTGCCAGCCAACTCAGGCATCTTCACCAGCATCTTCTCACACTCACATTGCCCGGGGGGGGGGTTTGGGGGGGGGGGGGCAAGACAC